GCTTGTCCAGCCGAGGCCACGTTTTGGGTATCAATGGCGGTTAATTGCATCCCTGACGCGCAGTGAATGCACATCGATTAGGCAGGTCGTGACCCCCATCAGCGAGACAGCACTGCCCCATCCTCACAACCCCATCTCCCCCCCCCCCACCCTCCACTCCAGTACACATCTCGACAAAAAAGGGGTCTCGTATGGGTTTGTATTAACGTCTCAACCGAATTCAGTATTGTGGCATCGCGTCGTATCACAGTGTTAACGCTCACGATGTGATTAAGTTATTCGTTAAGTAATTTAGCACCGCGCGGCGCATTCAGTTCAGATTTTTTTTGGCATCGGTGTCTGTCTGTGTGGCGGCCAGGATATGGTAGTACAGCAGCGGATTGTTGAATCTGAGATTGATGGGAGACCGCATGGTAACACCGCGTGTTTCCAGGTGTAGGCTGTGAGATTGCCAGGAGATGTCGGCACGCCAGTGGATTGTTCACTCTATCTGTGCAGAGGTTGAAATGTTTAATGCCTTGGTGGGTTTTCTCCATGTGCACCGGTTTCCCTGTACAATAATCCAAACATTCAAATAATGGAATTGGCCAAACAGCCCAGTTTATCAGGACTCTCGTGACAAATAGTTAGGAGACTCGGTGGAGTTTTCCTGGGTAATTATACGACAATGACATTTAGAATTAATGCATTTATTATAAAGTCAGACATTATATTCTTTACACCTGTTTGCGGGCGTCGGCAGTTAATTATTACAGTACGCAAGGCTGATTCCTTGGTTCAATGATTGTGGAGCTCAAATTATTATTTTGTAAATGTTAAGCGGGATAATGAGAGCTGTAGAGAGCTTCAGGCTAACCCTCCCATACGAGTGAAACGAATTAATCTCTCATTTTCAGGGGGCCGAATAAAAAAAAATGCAGATTTTTTTAAATTGTAGGCATACAATTGACTATAATTGTACCAAGTGTCGCCATTCAAGCCCCTCTTGAACATCGCTAGAATTCAGAGTAATTGAGCCGACTTAAGACGCGTTTCATAAAGTGGGTTTGCAATTGCCACATTTGCCCACCAGCCCCAGCAATTCTACGGTGGCAATTCATTGCATTTGTCTGCGTCCAAGTCAGTCTACCAGCCAGCGCACTCACGCGGGCATTCGTTTAATCGTTCCGAGCTGAGCCAAGGGGTTCACTCTGACCGGACGTTAGTACATGAGTCCAGACTGGACATCACACTTGCCGTCAGCACTTTGAGGTGGCATCACTTTTGCGATTCCGATTTCGTTGTGTGGCCAATAACAGCGATTTGCGTGATAACCATTTTAATTAGTGGGTTATCAAATAAGTTCATGAACTCTTGGAAGTGCTTGCACAAAGGATAGTAACATCTCATCCTGTGTTCTTGGAATCCCTCATTTTGGCCGTGTAAATACATCGGTACAACTGAAGATGTGATTTCTGCTGCCCGAGGTTATACCAGTTTCTGTTCTGGCCCATGGCCTTATGGAACCAGGGGCCTATGCACAACACGTAACTAACAAAACCACCACGAAAAGCGGTATTAATGGTAATCTTATAGGATTTTTTTTACATATAAGTTATATTCTTTTTATGTATAAATAATGTTTCCATTCCTACATTTATGTAAAATTATAGGTATTGCAAGCCAAGCGGGTGCTTTGTCTGAATGATGACATCTGTCTAGATTGTGATCAGTAACAATGCGTGTTTATACAGTTCCATAATTCATGCAAAATGCATCTCGCAATGCCGCACAATCCACTTGTGGATGTGTCTGTATATTAAAATATTTCCAGCTCAAATAGTGAGTGCATACGTCGGATGAAACCGGGAGGACCCAGAGAAGGCAAACACTCACAGATGGAAACAGGTGGCGCTTAAGTCGGCACTTGCTGTACCACATCCTCCTGGCCGAGCCAGAGTACGACACCTCCTTGTCGCTCACGGGGAAGGCAGTTTCACAACATTTGTATGGTGATCCGTCGAAACCGCGCCGCTGCCCCCTACAGTGCTGGATTACAGTCAACCACGTGCGGTGCAGCTTCCACCGCCGCCCCGCGTATTTCGACTAATTCGTTTGTTATCGATTCATGCCGTGGGATGTCTGGTGATGGCTCCACGCAGCCGCGACATTGAACATTAAAGCAGATTAACCCCGTCCACGGGACGGTCCGTACACGGCTCGCGTCGTATAAATATGCGCAAAGGACAGGCAACGGCAAAGCTATCGCGGTACGATGACCAAATTGTGCAGATCTTTGTCACTCCACTGCTGGATGAAAGCTTCACGCCGTGCAAGTAATGGGGGGGGGGGCAGGGGGAATTTGACCATACATCACCACGATGGTCAGTGTGGGGTTGACGACGGAGGAAGGGTATTAAAACCTGGTCGGATATCTCACTCGCCTCTCACGATAACCATAGCTGAGATTCGATTTCAGGTCGACGGCGCGCTAATCGATGTGTCACTGCTCAACAGCATATGCTATATATATATATATATCAATATGCATTTTCTACTCTCGGCTGTCAAACTCTGAGCCCTGAAATCACTTTTACTGATTCGTGCCGTGGAATTTCTGGTTCTGGCTTCCCGTAGCCGTGAGCTCCTTACAGCCTAAGCACACGCCACCACCACATCAATTCTTATTGCCTCAGGCCCTAGGAACATTGCGGTGCATGCAGCCTCCATTTGCAGCTGGCAGCACGTCTCCCTTGCAGGGCATTGCTTGCAGGGCTTTGTTTCCCCAAGCCCTATTTTGCATAATTGACGTTGCTTTTGTCGAACTCTGGAATAACACACCTCGTGTGTCCATCTGTGTGCCTATCACGCGTAGAGTCACAGCACTAATACGAGTACATATTGTCACACAGTCAAGTAAAAGGCTCACTGACAAAATCGAAGCCGCTCGGTACACGTGCCGACGTTCGGATAACGTTTTGTTGGAACCGTTGGACCAACATTGGCGTAACGTTGAACGGACGACCCACGTGTTCTCGCAAGAGAACCGTTTTCCGGTTGTTGCTTGGACCTGGGTCAAGAAAACGGTTGAACAACAATGTTGCACCGTTCTATTCATACGCGGTGTTAGATGCTCCGAACTGCCTCCTCATTCACTTGTTGTGTGTGGTGAGTTGGCAATGCGTGTGCAAAGTAAAGGAACATCTGGCAAGCGTGTGAAGACAAATGGAGACCTAAACTGAGAGTTTTTCAAATGAATTATATATCCAGGAGAGCCACACCAATTGCAAATACTATCTATCAGTAGGGTCCTGCTGCACTGGGTTTTCATAGGAAGATCTTTTCAGCCAACGTATGAGCGTTTATACATTGCACGGGCAGTATCTGCTGGGATTCATCCTCGGGATTTCCTTTGGGTTCGATCGTGTGGAGGGTACAGCGTCAGAGCTATACACCCTCAGCCAACCGACACAGCCAAACAAATCAAATGTGTCACTTGGGCAAATGCATCCCAATTGGTTTTAGTTTTGTTCAACGTGAAAAACAAGTTTTCAGAATTCCGCACGACCTTCCGCTGGAGATGGCACCCAACATCAGCAGGTGCTAGCCAGAGCTTGACTCTCAAGCGGACGATGCCCTTCCTCATCTAGGTCCTTCAGTCAAAACAAAACATTGTCCTACGTGTATGATCTGATGTCGACGCCTGTGAAATGTGAGTCCTAATCATTCGCCGCGCAGCAAGGAAACTTGTTTGATGACGCAATTGCAAACGTCACGCCCGCTAATGTTCTACCCGACACGCGCAGAACGTGTGCAGTGACCCCTGAAGAACAATGTAAGGGTTGGCCTTGACAAATGTTAAAACGTCGAATTATTTTTCATATGATTTTTGGGTTGAGTTTGTTGTCCTTTCCCCGCACCTCCGTTCAGCACGGTCGGCTTGGTACGGTGCGAAAGAAGTTCAACATACGCGTATGTGTGACCCGCGCCAGGCTTTTTTTTAAAGGGAAAAAAATCCAGCCTTGTGGTTAATTACATTGTCTCTGCACGCATGGCGAACGCAATTTGCTTATTAATTTATTCACTCCAATTAATTTACCCGCTCTCAACAATACCTTAATTTACTGCGCAGATGAATTGTTGCGGGCAACTGGTGGCAGGGAAGTCCACTTGTAAGCGATTATGTTTTTTTGCAACCAAGCTGTGAGGTGTGGACCTGGCTTAATGCTTCGCGGGGTCGTGGTTCGATTATTGGTGAGATTTATACGTATTGCAGCGGATGGAATACAGCGGCCTCTGATGACTGGACGTGTTTTCACATGATCCTACAAAATTCAAGTGCTTTTGAAAAACCATTGATTCTTAGACGATGCGATTAGATGCGGATTACGTCTGCCGAGCTGGCGATATTAATCGGTGATACATCGCGACCTCCGTTAGGGTGCGCGCGTTAGTGCAGCGATTGCGTGTAAACACGCATCCACGCGCTTTCGGGCAGCGCAACTTTTGCCCCCCCCAAAAAAAAACAACAACAACAACAACTCGTATTAGGTGACCGAATGCCGTCACTGCCCCAGATAAATAGCGCACATGACCTGTGGCATGATGCCTTGCGTGTCGCGTTCACTGCCAACAGTGTGTAGCAGCAGCAATAGCAGCAGCAGCAGTATCGGTAGCAGCAACAATAGCAGCAACAGCGTCATGGCAAAACAGCGGGAGCCCCAAATCCAATCACGATCATCCCACGTGCACAGTGCACACGGCACACACTCACTCACGAGCTAATGCACGTGCACTCCTCCAACACCGGTATGCGTGCACGCACGCAGGTACCCGGAAATCAAGTATTCAAAATGCATGCGCCCCAGTTGAACACGCGCGCGCACACACACACGCACGCAGTTACACTCCATGCACGTGCACACGTTGAGTGCTCTCCCACACCCCAAACGCACTCACACCGGCGCATCCGGGGCGAATGCACCCCAAACGCACCCCATCCCCCCCCCACTAACCCCTCGAGCACGCTCAACCACAACCACGCTCGACACGACCACCACCAACACAACCACACTCTGCCACACACGACACGACCACCATCAACACCACCACACTCTGCCACACACGACACGACCACCATCAACACAACCACACTCTGCCACGCTCCACACGACCACCATCAACACCACCACACTCTGCCACACACGACACGACAACCATCAACACCACCACACTCTGCCACGCTCGACACGACCACCACCAACGCAACCACACTCTTCCATGCTCGACACAACCACCATCAACACAACCACACTCTGCCACGCTCAACACAACCACCATCAACACAACCACACTCTGCCACGCACGACACGACCACCATCAACACAACCACACTCTGCCACGCTCGACACCACCGCGCTCGACGCAATCGCCCTCCGCAACGACGCTGAGCCCCACGCTCAACCGCGTTCGACACAACCACGGCGAACGCACGCGCGCTGATCGACGCATGCAGCCGTCGACTCCCGAACGCATTTTTACGCGCGCAGCGTAACGCGCGTCGAGCGAACGCATCCCCGGCCCCTTCAACCGCAGCGCACGCTCGCACGCAAATGTATCAATTACGCACGGTACGCACACCCCCCACCTCTCCGAGCGCACACGACGCCGCAAGGCGCGCACGCGTCCCCCCCCCCCCCGCTAGACGACCGACAGCTGCACGCTGCCGTTCTCGTGCAGCGCGGTGGGCATGGTCTCGGGCGGCGCCTCGTGCAGCCGCGACTTCTCTGGGCGATTGTCGCTGGGATCCGCGCCGTCGTCGTGAGTCGCGTTGGCCGCGGCCACCTTCTTCTGGCAGAGCACCTTCTGGAAGCTCTTCTTGAAGTTGTCCGAGAGGAACGCGTAGAGGATCGGGTTTGCGCAGCTGTTGGCGTAGGAGAGGACGACCACGAAGAAGTAGAGGCCCATGAGCGCGGGCTCCTCGGGCAGCGTGACGGCCAGGTTGATGATGTTGAGCAGGTAGAAGGGCAGCCAGCAGAAGACGAACACCGCCACCACGACGATCACCATGCGCGTCACGCGCTTCTCAGACCTGCGGCGCTTGGTGGAGCCCTGCACGCGCGCGCCCGACGACTTCACCTTGAAGATGATGAGCAAGTAGCACAGGCAGATGACGGTGAGCGGCCCGAAGAAGCCGAGCAGCGCCGTATAGAGAATGAACGCCGTGGACCACACGCTGGCCGGGTCGGGCCAGTTGATGTTGCACATGGTGATGTCCCCTTGCGTGTAGGAGAAGATGATGACGGGCAGGACGACGACGAAGGAGAGGAACCAGACGGCGCCGTTGACGAGCTTGGCGAAGAAGGGCTTCCGCCACTTGGTGGACTTGACCGGGTGGACCACGGCCAGGTAGCGGTCGATGCTCATCACGGTCAGGCAGAAGATGCTCGTGAACTGGTTGATGCCGTCCACCGTCATGACGATACGGCACATGAGCGAGCCGAAGGGCCAGTAGGAGAGCGCGTTCTGCAGGGCGAGGAAGGGCAGGCCGAACATGAAGAGTTCGTCGGCGACGGCCAAGTTGAGGATGTAGATGTTGGTGACGGTCTTCATCTTGGCGTGGCGCAGCACCACGTAGATGACGAGCGTGTTGCCCGTCAGGCCCACGGCGCACACGACGAAGTACATCAGAGGCAGGATGACGGCTCCCGCACCCGGCTCGTAGGGCTCCTCGATGCCCGTTGCGTTGCCGGTGTCGTTGCCGCCGTTGTTGTTGTTGTTGTCCCAGAGCCACGAGATGTTGTTTGTAATCCAGGGGGTCGTGTTCGCCGGAAGCATTGATTCCATGGCGTGGGGCGATGGTCAAAATGCTTCAGTATTGTTTAGACGGGTGTGTGTGTTGTGTGTTTTGGGATGGGGGGTGTTGGCTAACTGTATGTGTTATAGGGTGGTTATCAGCGTGTAAGCGAGAGTGTGTCAATGTGGGTATGTGTGTGAGATAGTGTGCGTATGATAGGGTTTGGTACGTGAGATCCTGTTAACGTTTTAATTAGTGTGAATAAAGTGTGTGAATTTGAGTGGGTATGTGAGATAATTTAAATCTGTACGTACTCGCTAACTGCACTTGCCACAGCAGTCGTTTAAAACAACATGGGGACAATTGTATTCGTGTACGTCAGAACATACGATACTGTGGATGTGTGTGTATAATCGTGGGCATGTATGTGTTTGACGTTAAGTCTGTATGCCTATGCTATATGTGTGGGTATGTATGTGTCTGTGAGTGTATTCATCTATGTTAGGACGTGTAAGATTACGCAATTGCCTATCAACGTGTGAATGTTAGTGTGGGTGTACTGAAGCGAGCATGCGAATGCGTATTTGTGAGTGTCTGTGTGTGTACGTAAGTGAAAATGTCTGAAAGTTTATTAACTTTGGGTGCATGTGAGAGTATATGCCCGCCAGTGTGTTTAAGTGTGCGTGTATCCAATACGTGTTGACGTTTCACTAAGTGCTTTTGTTTCTCAATACATCATCGTTACATCTTACCGTGCGTGGCCGCTATTAATGAAACTTAGCCAAACTTTGCACGTTTGTTTTTCTTACTTTCAAAGATTCATGCGAGTGTGATGAGTCAACTAACGAGGTGCGAAAACGTTCCAAATTAGGGACGAGCTTTCAGATGCGCCCCTCCGATACGAAGAACCGCTGGAGCTATGAACTGTTAAAACTAAATCGAAAACTAATTTCCTTAGAAATGCTTTTTGTGTTCAGTTTCTTGTCCTTCCTCCCCACCACCCCGACCTCCAATTAGCACGGTTGGCTACGTACGGCGAGAAATAAGTGCAACGTACACGAACACTTCAGCTTAACAATTTCTCAGTGGTCCACACGAGGGGTGCCGAGTCGCGATCTCCGGATCTCTCTCCCGTCTTCTGCAGTCACGAGTCGCTCACTCGGAGCAGTGGCCTCTGAAAAAAGAGAATTGCAACAAAATGAACCGCGATGAATGCACACGCGACGCACGCACATTATACTCATCCACTCATCCTGCCCGCCACGAGGGATCGACTTAACGGATTGCATTCATTAAATACTATTGATGTTTTAGAAAGGTTGCACATGTGAAATTGGGCACACTCGTCTCCCACACGGCATGGCGATCCCCTCCGTACAGCAATGGACTGACAAAGGGCTTTGAATGAATAATTAGTGATTGGATCGTCGAGTCTACGCGTGAAACTGTACAATCACATCGTAACGTCAGCATGTTCAATTCGATTACTGAATCTCACCATCCCTCCCAAAGAAAAAAAAACGATGCTAATTTTAAAGTTTTTTTTTTATCTAAGCCTGACGAAAGCTTGAACCTGAGTGTGTTGAATGTGTTGGAAGGCGTTGAATGGGAATGTGGCATCGTATTTGCGAGACCTCCGTTTCTTAATCGATTTTTTTTTGTTTGCGAGAGCGTGACCGTAAAGCTGACAGCCAGCGAATCTCGGCTGCCAGTTATAAGCACAATGCAAGCATCCGCTGTGCGTGTGATTGCACGTTCCGCAGACACAGACGGGCAGACACACAAAGACTCACCAAGCATAACATAGACACCCTACCTATAAATGCGCACACAGACAGAGATGCAAAAATACACACAGACCCACCAAAATAGATACGCACAAAAAAGGACAAAGATTCCCCGTATAGCCTTAACAGACTCTAGGGGCAAGTGCTGTTAGCGAGCACCTATAAAGGCCGGCACGGCACATGAGGGGGTGGGTGGCCAAGACCACGCCCGGCCGCCTTTGTCTCCCTAGTGGCGATGTTTAGAGATCACACAAGGTACTCACTGAGTCGACCTAGGGGAGGCCCAGAATCAGTTCAGATAATCGTCACTGGTGTTGGCCGTGAACGGGAATCGAACCCGGGTCGCCTGGTTCGAGGCGCAGCGCGCTAACCGCTACACTACCGCTCCCCACACACACACACACATGCATACATCCACACACGCAGGCAGACGCGCACAAAAACACGCAGACATACGGACACACAGACTCACTCAGGTGCAGACAGGCGCATAGACCCAAAAGGAAGATACACAGACGCACGGACAAACGGAGGCCAAATTCTAGATAAGCATGGTTGGCTACGTACGGTGCGAAAGAAGTTCTAAAAACGGAGGCCAGTGGACACGGACTGACACAAGACAATGGCACACAAAGACGCAGTCCGACGGGCACCCAGACACACACGAAGTGAACACTCGCCCAGTGAAACTGCCGCACAGCAATTACTTGTTTTGAAAATTGACTCGATACCACACAACCGTATCATATTCTTGGTTCTTTCGGTAAAGTCACGTAGAAGGGAAATAATAAAATAATATAAATATAAAACAATAAAAATTCTCACGACCACTTTTTTAAAAATGTCTTGCTGTGTATTTCACACCTGATGATGATTGCTTGTGTTGCAGTCGAAACGTCGTGAGAATTTTTATTGTTTTATATTTATATTATTGTATTATTTCCCTTCTACGTGACTTTACCAACAGAACCAAGAATATGAATCCCTGCAGTCACGAAAGCTTTAAATCAAAACACAACCGTATCGTTTGAGACGTTCTCGTCCCCTCCCCCCCGCAACTTTCATTCCACGTGGCATTCGTTTGTTGCCCTTCCCAACCGCGCCTCCGATAAGCACGGTTGGCCACGTACGGTGCGAAAGAAGTTCAACATACATCCACATACAACATACGTACATGTTAGTGTCGCTGCAGGAGCAGTGGCAGGGTCACGGGAGAGAAGCGGCAGAAGCGATGGTCACTCTGATGAGTCCCGTGATGAGGCGGCACGCATTGCCCCGGTAGTAAATGGGAAAGGATGTGTGCAGACAATTGGCTGGCTGACGTACGCACACGCACCCATTCACACACTGTGTGCACAGCTCACACACAAACACGCTCGGACATATGCCAAGACCAAAGTCCCCCCCAAACCCCCCACCCCTCCCTCCGCCAGCCACCACCGGTATAGCCTTTAACAGACTGTTGGGGCAGGTGCTGTTCGCGAGCACCCATGAAGAGCCGGCAACGACACGTGCACATCTGCGCCGTCGCCCGGTCGAGGTTGTTTTCCCAGCACTGATGTTAACACCGAACCCCCCCCCCCCCCCCCCCCCTAGCAAGTATGTGTACTCATTTAATGACCGAATCAGATTTGTCGTGAGCGGGAATCTAACTCGGGTGGGCCGGGTTCGGAGCGCATTGCGCTGACGACTACACCACCGTTTCGCACCGCTGCTGCGCACAAACAACTCGCCTGCGTACATAACACACGCACGCGCGCGCGCGCCCGAAAACACAAACACGCATGCACATATAAACACACACACACATGCCCGTTCATTAACCTCCTTCAGTCACAGACGCGCAGACAAACGCACGCTTGCACGCGCACGCACCTGTGGATACGGACACACTCGGCAACTTCAGCGCACGAACACTCAGGACGACAAACGACAGACTCGGGGCATCTATGTAGGGCAGCACGACACACGAGGGGCTGGGTGGCCATCACCACGCCAGGCCGTGAGCAGGAATGTGTCAACGTCATTGAGGTACTCATTTGAGGTCGAGTCGACCTAGGGGGAGGACAAGGACCGGTTCAAATAATCCTCACTTATTGGTGGCCGCGAGCAGGAATCGAACTCGGGTAGCCGGGTCCGTAGCGAAGCTCGCTAAACTCTATGCTCCAGCTCGGCACACACGCGCGCGGTGACACACGTATTTTCATTACATTGCTTTTGTAATATCAGGTGTATTGGACTCATTAAGTTATACAACTGTGGACATAAATGTACAGTACGTATACACGTAGGTGGCAACCCTTAGGTTGTGATTGAAAACACTGCCTTTCAACAAGCGCGACCGCCTCGGTTCGATTCCGGATCCGTGCATGCGGCAATCGCTACCAGCACTTCTCCTCTGCTCTGTATTTCGCTTAGGTTTTTTTTATTTTCGTTATTTTACTAGTCAAATAAAATACAGATATTAGAAAGACAAAGGCGGCCGGGCTCGTGGAAGACTCGAGCACCGCGTTTCACGACCTATCGGTCTCAATAGGTGCTTGCGAACAGCAAATGTCCCCTGAACTCTGTGGTATAAGATGCCCGTGTGTAATTTTGCTGTGTGTACGAATCTACAGCATGGAATACATGTTCTATTTGGTCCCGGTTATGCCAAGAATGAACTCTGTTATACATGCAGGCAATGTATGCATGTCATGTGCCATGTATGTAATGTGTGGGAATGCCGTAGTATGTCATAGTACGTAACCATATATTATTGAATGCAATACGCTGCCGTGAGTCATACATGCAATGTACAAACGTATGTCAACGTATGTCAACGTATGCATTTCATGAATGAAATGTACGTCTTGTAAGTATGAATCGATAGTATGAACGTATGTCATGGCATGTGACGTACGTGTGTTACGTGATATGGCATGTGTGTAATATATGGCACGTGTGTAATATATGCAATGTGTGTAATATATGCAATCGATCTAATGCATGGACGAATGTCACGGTGGTGACGTGAATGTTTTATGCCACGCGTGCAACGTAAGAACGAAATCTCACGGCAGTAAGCTGTGCACACACGTGTCGCGTGACATGCGTGCCGGGGCACGTACCGCGTGGCAGGAGCCTTCGCTTGAACGCGCGCGATCGCGGGCACGGGATGAGGAATCCGACGGCGACTCTCCCGAGCGCGCTCCGATCTCATCTTCACGTCCGCACGAGATCCTCGTCAACGGTCGCGCCGCTTTCCCCCCCGTGTTCTTCCACCCAATTACCTCTCATTCGCCCGCTATCGAGTGCGCCTGTCTGTTGATTAAACACTCCTCCCTCCCTCCCTCCTCCTCCTCCCTCCGCTTCCTCCTCCCTCCTCTCCGATACTCGCGGCGCGCGCGCACCGAACGCTTCTGCCCTGACCACAGATTCCAACCACCGCTACCACCAGCAGCAGCAGCAGCGGCTGCTCTCTTCAAATGTGTCGCAGAGTGGTAGGGTCAAACAATCGTACACGGTCTTGCCGTTCCTGCTAATGATGCTACTGCTGCTGCTGCTGCCGATGTTTCTGCAGCTGTCCCTGCTGCCGATGCCACTGCTACTCGTGCTACTGGTATTCCTGCTGCGGTTATTGTTGCTGCTAATGTTACTGCCCTGCTGCTGCTGCTGCTGATGATGATATTGCTGCTGCTGCTGACAGCTGTTGCTGCTGCTGTGGCGCGTGTGGGTTGTCTTCGTGACGATCGACGTTGAAGCTACATCTCCAGTTATTATTCTTACAACCGAACCTGTTACTTTAATTCGGCAAACTGCGCTGAACTCATTGACGCGTTGCCACTTCGCAGTGAGTTACGTTAATTCATCAATCCGAGATGGTGAACGCGAGAACGAACAAGTCAAAGTTGTCGTCTTCTTCTTCTTCTACTTCTTGTAGCAGGAGTTTGCTTCTCTTGATGAGAGGGGAACTTGGGGAGTTGATTGTTTATATCGAGCGCCACTTCTGCTCTTTGTCAGCGCGCGCGTGCGCGTGCTCGCGCCGCGGTGATTTAAATGAGCGCGTAATGAGTGAGCTGCGATGTGGAGAGAGGCAGAGAGAGAGGGAGGGGAGAGGGGCGGGAGGAAGAGAGGGGGCAGGAGGGAGTTGGGACGGAAAAGGGATGGGGAGCGGGGTGGTTAAGGTGGGGGGTGGCAGGATGAAGACAGAGGGAGGGAGGTTTGAATAAAGAGAGGGCGATGAGTAGAGAGGGACGGGAGGAAGAGAGAGAAGGAGGGATGAGAGAACGGCAAATGAAGGAGAGGCGGGTGTTGAAGAGAGAGGCACATGAGACCGACAGAGAGAGAGAGAGACGGAGACGGGAGGGAGGAAAGGGGGAGCGGAGTTTAGGGTATATGAACAGGAGGAAGAAAGAGTGAGCGAGTTGGTTACGGGGAGGGAGGCACACACGCACGCACGTACACAGAGACACCCCACGCGATGATCAGCCCTCGAGAAACCCCGAGACTCGCTCGTGTGCAGCTGAGCAATTGCGAGACGAGCAAAACCTCTCGCTCAATCAATGCTCCTGGCAAATTACTCTTCTCACAATCTCGCGCCCCTCATTGTTCTTTTCCCTTTCGTCGCCGATGTTTGCTGTGGCTGCTGCTGCTGCACCTGCCGTTGCTGTGGAGACTCGAAGTCCCAAGCTGTTGGGTCTCTCCGCGAATTCCGACTTTTGCTCCGCGAACCTAGTCGATTCCTCCGAGCGCGTGTCGGTATATATATAGTGGGTATATATATAATACATCTCTCATTGATACACTCCGCCACGTGTATCCTGTAACAGACTGTTGGGGCAAAAGCTGTTTGCGAGCGCCTATGGGGCCGTCCATAAATGACGTCACGCGATTTTGGACGATTTTTCACCCCCCCCTCCCCTTCGTCACATAGCGTCACAAAAAAGTCAGACCCCCCCCTCAAATATGACGTCACAAAGCTCTGCCCCCCCCCCCCATAAAAAAACATGCTTCAAATCGCGTTTAAACTATTGTCATTGTAGTGCGTATTTAATGTGCCGCTGCACTCTGATGTTGTAGGAGAAAACATTTATTTAAAAGTCTATTTAATTAAGTAGAACGTGCTGTCTATATTTATTAAAAGTTGAGCATTTTTACGTGACGTCACATTTCTCAACCCCCCCCCCCCCCCTCGTCACACATCGTCACAAATGTCTGACCACCCCCCCCCCCCCCTAGGTGCGTGACGTCATTTATGGACGGCCCCTATGACGGCAATCCCGACTGCGCACGACGAGTGAGTGATGTGTCTCGCGACCAAGCTGTCCAATGCTCTTTCTGTTCCTTCTTTTCACAGGGATGCGTACCTCGTGTTGTGCGGCACGATGTCCGACGTTTCGCTCCGCGTGCTGGGAGCTTCTTCGGGAACTCCAATTGAGCAGTTTCGCTGTCTCGCTCGATTTAAGCGGCTCTGTTGCCTGAGCTCAGCCGTCTGGCAGAAATGAAATTTGCGTTTGTAAACGCACGCAACGCACGCGCACACGGCCACGTGCGGGCACTCGCACCTCTCCTCACACACGCGCACACGCGCAATATGACGGCAACTCATTGTCGGAGACGTCAGCGCAGCGCTTGTGCCAAGCTGGGTGCACTTTGAAGGCATCGGGTGAGACGTGGTGGGCTTATCCGCAGGAGGTCACGAAACAGAGGCAGGTATCATTTGGGTTCATTGAGACGGACGGATGCATTGCCCGTGCCCCTCACTGGCAACGTGGTGTGTTTTATACGCCCGGCGCTCCGCTTGTTGTTGTGAGCGTCGCTCCTCCGCCCTCCGTTGTTGTTGGAGGGCGACTGCCTCCAACTGCCCAGTAGCAGCGTCCTTATCGAGCCTCCCCTTCCACAGAAGCCGATCTTGACATCGCTGGTAACAGCAGTCTTACGTAAACACACACCCACGCACACGCGCGCACAAGTGCACAGAGCACCCGATTACACACACCGCACAGCCCATACAAAACCCCAGTTACCCACCCACACAAAAAGGTACGTAAATACAAAGAGAGACGCGCACACAACAACATTGAGCACTAAGTGGCGGGGACGTCACGACAGAGGTTGTGCCCGGCGAGGTGCACTTTGGGGCCGTCCATAAATGACGTCACGCGATTTTGGAAGATTTTATACTCCCCCCCCCACCCCTCGTCACACGGTGTCACAAAAAGTCAAACCCCCCCTCAAATATGACGTCACAAAACTCTGCCCCCCCCCCCAAATAAATAAAACATGCTTCACATCGCTTTAAACTATTGTCATTGTAGTGCGTATTTAATGTGGCGCTGCACTCTGATGTTGTTCGATAAAAAAAAAAAATTGAAGTCTATTTAATTAAGTAGAACGTGTTGTCTATATTTATTTTAAAATGCGCATTTTTACGTGACGTCACATTTCTCAAACCCCCCCGCCTCGTCACACATCGTCACAAATGTCTGACCCCCCCCCCCCCCTAGGTGCGTGATGTCATTTATGGACGGCCCCTTTGAGGCTCACGTGAAGTGTTCAAAGCTCACTGCTTGGCAAGAGGTCACCAGACAGACTCGGGTGCCTTTCGTTGACTGCCTGAGATTCACACACTCACCCCAACACACATAGAACACCAACTCACCCACGCGCACTGATATACACACGCCAACACACATACGCAAGCAACGATACAGATTCTCTCTATTAAGCCTCCACAGCCTGTTGGGGCTGGTTCTGTTAACGAGCACCTACAAAGGACGGCACGACACCACGAGTGGGTGGCGTTTGTTAGGAACACCCCCGGCCGCCTTTGTCTCCCCAGTCCCGATAGTTACATCGCACCAGGTACTCATTTAAGGCTGAGTCGACCTAGGGGAGGTCCAGGACTTATTTTTATATCACTAGCCACATTTGTTAGCCGTGTCTGGGGAATCGAACGAGAGCCGCCAGGTTCGTTCCACGGTGCCCCAACCACTGCGCCACCGTTCTCCACGATGGGTCACCCAGCAAAATAAATTCGGAGGTAGAATTTGCTTCTCACTGTCATACAAATCCACTCAGTTTTCGAAGAGACAACATTGATCACGTTCTCACGATGTAATATTGAACGTTTCCACAATTAAATATACATCAATAATAATTATTTGCAATTGTTCATGAATGAAACATCTCATAAATGGTCGCTGACTGATAACGGACGTCTAAAATGTTCGGGGGAGGGGTTCCAACCGCCCCCTTTTGCCCCCCCCCACCCCCACCCCCCACATGCTCCTCTGACACACTCGCAAACACAAGCAGCACAACGACAAAGATCCCCCGTATAGCCCTTACAGACAGTCGGGGCAAGTGCTTCTAGATTTGAAGCTTTCGTGATTGCAAGGATCCATACTCTTAGTTTTTTCGGTAAAGTCACGTAGGTAAAAAATGAAATAAAAATTTATAAAAATTAAATAATAATAAAAAAATCATGATTTTTTACGATTATTTAATTTTCATTAATTTTTATTTCATTTTTTACCTACGTGACTTTTCCGAAAAAACTAAGAGTATTGGGCAAGTGCTGTTGGCGAGGACCTTGGGGGTGGGCGTTCAGCACCACGCCCGGCCACCTTTGTCTCCCTAGTGGCGATGTTTGCACAGTGCGCACGCATTTATGCACCCATCTACACACGAATTTAAACACGAATTGACACACGAGACAGATACCCCCCCCCCCCCGCCCGGTACAACCAACGCAGGCTGTCGCCTCAGTGCTGTCAGCTAGCACCACTGAATGGCCAGCACAAGGGAAGGGGGTGGTGTGGGCTTCACCACGCCCGGGCCGCCTTTGTCTCCCTCATGTGTTCACATCATACGGTATGAGGTGCTCTTGTCATGGCCGAGTCAACTGAGCATAGGCCAGGAGTCGGCAGCTTGCGGCTCCAGAGCCGCATGCGGCTCTTTAAGGACCGCATGGCGACGTTTTTTTTTTATTGAGGACCGTCTCGTTTTCACCACATGTATGTATTCGAAATTGTTTTTATAAAAAAAAAAATATTCTAGCCGTTATTTTGTTTTCACACATCTGGCAGATAGACATACAACACACACACACATATACCTGTAGAATAATAATATAAGAATTGTTCCGTTCCACATTGCATGCCTTTGTGAGAGGCTGACCGCATGCTTCTTGGAATGCTATAATTGGCACCACAAATATCAGCAGCGGGAGAGAATCGCAAGCGATGGTGTGCAAGTCTGTGGCGCTCACGTGACGTCTTCCCATGCGGCTTGTGGTGTGCGATTCATCAACACGAGAGTCTGTGACCATC